CTGGACAACCAGCCCAATCAGCGTCGGTGTAGACGACAAGATCAGCCGAAGTAGACGGTCGCAGCAGGAGACCAAGGTGGAGAGTGCCACGAACATAGCGCAGAATCCGCTTCAGAGCTGCGAGGTGAGGCTCACGAGGGTCGTGCATATGAAGACAGACTTGCTGCACAACATATGCAATATCTGGCCGGGTGAACGTTAGGTACTGTAAGGCTCCAGCGAGGCTGCGAAAGTCTAAAGGGTCAGAGACAGGGGTGCCATCTGCTGCAGCAATCTTCGGATTGGTGTCAACTGGAGTGGAACACGGCTTACACTCTGCCATCCCGGCGCGATCAAGAATGTCCAGCATATATTGTCGCTGAGAAAGAAGGCCATCACCACTGCGTTGAACATGCATACCGTGGAAGTAATGCAGTTCACCAAGGTCCTTCATAGCGAACTCCCGCTGAAGGGCTGAGATGATACACCGAAGAAGGCCAGTTGAGGAGGTTGTGAGGACGATGTCATCAACATAGAGCAACAGGTAAGCTGTGTCTGATCCGTGCTGGTAAACGAAGAGTGAGGTGTCTGACTTGGCTTCAGCAAACCCAAGGTACAGCAAGTGTGTGGCCATGCGACTGTACCAAGCACAAGGGGCCTGCTTGAGGCCATATAGTGACTTCTTCAGGTGACAAACATAGTCCGGATGAGCTGGATCTTCGAACCCAGACGGCTGCTGACAATAAACTGTCTTTGTCAGGTTGCCATGAAGAAAGGCGTTCTTCACATCAAGCTGGTGGATGGGCCAGCGGCGAGAGAGCCAGGGAGAGCACCGTGCGAACAGCAGCAGGCTTCACAGAATGTCTCATCAAAGTCCACACCAGGCCGCTGGGTAAAGCCGCGGAGAACCCAGCGCGCCTTATGCCTTTCGAGGGAACCATCAGATTGAAACTTGTGCTTGAAGGTTCACTTGCCGGTGACGACGTTGGCCCGAAGGGGGCGAGGCACGAGATCCCAAGTGTGATTCTTCAGCAGGGCACTGTGTTCCTCTTCCATTACAACTCGCCACATGGGGTCGGCAAGAGCGCTACGGAAGGTCTTCGGTATCGGTGACATAGACGTAGCGTGGTACGCAGCAGGCATCCGAAAACCGCTCTTCGAACGTGTGCCCATGGCGTGCTGGTTGGTCACAGGAGGGACAGCAACAGCCCCTTTGGGCAGTGGGAGCGGCGCGGCTGGTGCAGGTGCAGCCGGGGCGGCGGTGACAGGAGCAGTTGGAGCAGGCTGTGGTCGAGGCCGGCGCGTGTAGTGGTAGGCGAAGGCGCGGTCTGGACGAAGAGGCGGGAACCCGGGCGGGGGCCCGCGGGGTGCCTGAGGAGGTGACACCGGCGCTGTGGAGCCCGCGGTCGGTGCTGGAGACTGCGAGCTCGCGCGAAGCGTTGGCGGGATGTACAGCTGGCGAGGTGGAGCGCCTCCAGTCGTGCTGGGCGCGTCCTGAGCCGCGCGTGGCGCGGGAGGGGTCCCTGGCGTCCGCAGCGTAGGCGGGATGTAGAGCGCGGGCGCCGGGGGATCAGTAGCAGCCACCGGAGGCGTCGGGGGCACCCCAGGCACAGTCTCAGAGGGACCGGCAGGGGCGCTGGTGACGTCAGAGGTGCTGGATGGTGTTCCTGCAGACAAAAACTTGTGCAACGGTCCAATAGGAGCGGGCACAACATCAGTAGCATCAAGAAACTCAAAGTCCGCCGGAATACTAGGACCATTGCGCTCAGCAAAGGGGAAGGCCGTTTCATCGAAGATGACGTGCCGGGAGATGATGACTCTATTGGTGGAGAGGTCAAGGCAGCGGTATCCTTTGTGGTGAGCGGAATAGCCTAGGAAGACGCACAAGGCAGACCTAGGAGCGAGTTTATGAGGAGCGGTGGCGGACAGGTTTGGATAACACTTGCAGCCAAAGACTCGTAGGTGATCATACGCCGGCGGCGTGCCGTACAGGGCAAGGTGGGGCGTGGAGAACTGTAGAGTCTTGGTGGGCAGTATGTTAAGCAGAAGGGTCGCTGTGGAGAGGGCCTCCGCCTAGTAGGAGGGAGGCATAGACGCCAGAAAAAGCAGTGAGCGAACGACATTATTGATGGAGCGAATAATGCGTTCAGCTTTACCATTTTGAGGCGAGGTGTAGGGGCAGGACATACGAAGATGGATGCCCTGTGTGAGGAAGAAGTGATGGGTGCTAGAGTTGTCAAACTCTTTCCCGTTGTCGCACTTGACAGCCTTGACGTGGGCGCCAAATTGGGTGGAGGCGTCGACGATGAAGTGGGCAAGCGTACTGTAAGTGTCAGATTTGAGTCGCAAAGGGAAAAGTCTACAAGTAGTGAGTGCAATCATCAAGTATGACCAAATAGTATTTGTAACCAGAAACACTAACAACTGGAGATGTCCACAAGTCACAATGAATAAGATCAAACTTGCTAGACGCACGAGAGGTGGACGAATGAAAGGGCAGACAAACATGATGCCCTAACTGACAAGCGTGACATAGATCTGAACAGTCCTGAATGTGACAGGAAAGTAGACGCAAGCTTCGACAACGCCTCATGACCGGGGTGACCGAGATGCCGATGCCACAGTGGGGAGGGAGCCTGAGCGACAAAGGAGTGTGCTGGAGGTAGGCGCAGTGGATATAGCGGCCCGGAGCTATTGCACCTAACGATCTCAGTCCGAGATGGAAGAACCTTCACAGAACAACCAGCAGGGTCAAACTCAACAAAACAGTTGTTGTCGATATTGAATTGGCGCACAGAGATGAGATTCTTAATAAGTTGTGGCGACACAAGAACATTATTAAGACGTAAAGTAGGGGACAACTCTGTGGAGCCAGTGGCAGTAACAGGAAGCATGGAACCATTACCGACAACAATAGATGAAGGAGTAGGATACCGCGGGAATATAACATGTGAAAGGGAGGAAGACTGAGATGTCGTATGTGAAGTAGCACCTGTGTCGAAGTACCATTCGTTGGACGAAGGAGGGGTCAACGACATCGTGCTGAAGGCGGAGGCGAGGGCCGACTGGTCCCAAGAAGGGAGGCCGCCCCACGAGATTGTAATACCGGGCGGCCCATCGTCTCGAGCCATCGAGGAGGCGCCGACGGCAGCAGTCAGTGTGGCGGACGAAGTGCTCGCTTCTTTGGCGAGGAGGGCTCTTCTTGTGCTCTGCAGATGAGGAGGCACCGGGATGGGTGCCAGCGGAGGACGAGGACTCCCAGGCCACATCTGAATGGAACCCATCCATGGGTTGTAGACACTAGGCGAAGGCGACCACCGGGCAGCGAGTTCTTTGGGCGCCATCCCATCCGATCTTCTTCTTCCGGGCGCCAGAGAGGGGGCGTGGCCTCGGTCTTCTTTGCTGCCACCAGGGCCCCCCTTTCCATCGCCGCCGCGCCTGCTGCGGCGATTGCCGTTGGAGGACTTAGGGCCGCTAGCGCCCCCGGAGCCCGTGTTGGATGTGGGTGAGGCAGTGCTGGAGGAGCCTGTTGCTGCGGTGGAGGCAGCGAGAGCAGTGGCAGGGGACTCCTTGTTCTCCAATGTGAGTTCCTCGAGGATGAGGTCATCACGAGCCTCCAGGAAGGTGGTTAAGGGCCAGCTGCGGCGTAGGAGGGCCCCGACGTGACTGAAGCGCTCGTTGAGGCCACAGATCACGTTAAGGACGAGGGTGCGGTCGGTGATCACTTCGCCAAAAGCCGTGAGGTCGTCAGCCATCTTCTTCAGCCGGCGGCAGTAGTCGGTGACAGAGAGTCGCCTGGGCGAGATTACTGAAACCGCGTCTCAAGGTGGATGGAGCGAGCCTCTCGGTTGCCGAGGAACTGGGACTTGACGGCGAGCCAGGCATGCCGGGCAGTGGAGCCCTGGGCGGAGATGATCTTGGCAAGGTCGTCGGTGAGCGTGGCGACGATCCAGGACTTGACGACGCAGTCCATCCGAGCCCAGTCAGGGGAGATCGGGGCCGGAGGTTCCTCGTGGACGTGGTCTTGAAGAGAGAACTTGTCGAGGATGAGCAGGAACTGATCGCGCCAACGGTTGAAGTTGCCGGAGTTGACGTCGAGGACGGTGGTGACGTGGTTCCGGATGTTGTTGACGGTGACGGCCTGGGCGTGCATTGCAGCAGTGCCATGGCCTCATGGAGGAGCATGGTTGAGGCGAGGTCGGGAGGAGACGTGGAAGATGTGCTAAAGGAGGCGCCTCCAGGTGCACCGGGGGCGGCGGCGGCGGCTGCGCGCGCCAGGGCTTCGCTGGCGCGGGCAGCAGCCGCGTCGCGATCTTTGACGGCGGCTGCAGCCTCCTCCTCGGCCTGGGCAGCGCGAGCCAGGGCGGCCTGGCTCTCCTTGTCGAGAAGTTGGGCGGCAGCGGCAGCGTCGTTCGCCTTCTCCTTGGCCTGGCGTGCCGCGATCTCTTCAGCGGTAACATCCCTAGACCTGGGGGGGAGACATGGCACTGCATGGCAGAGGCCGGCGCGCAGGGATGTGCAGCGGAAGGGAAGACCTAAACCTAGGCGACTGATACCATGAGAGTGAATAGGTCTCGGAAAATTGTGATAGATTGATACGGGTACAGGGAGTACATTATATAGGTAAGGATCAGAAAGGGTTTATAGAAACACCTAATCAACGGTGATCCTTGCCTAATCAATGATCATCTACCATAATTCCTAGAGGCAGCCCACCCAATAGGCTTGGGCGCCAGGCCCATGGCCAGCCCATAGGCGTCTATTCTAACAGTATCCATTGCAATAACTTTTACATAATATTAAGCTGCAAAGATAAATATAATTTATTCGGGTTTGGGAGTAGTTGTAGTTCTTGTATATCCTTCTTTTCTGATACCAACACATCTATAGCCCTATTATAGTAACTCATACCCACCATCTTTAAGGGAGCATGCAGAAAACATGTTCACCAGTTAAGTGTGTGAAATATCAGATTCATTCACAAGGTTTCTAATGCCCTTCTCTTTCTAACCATGTTGTAGGAACAAGCTCCGGGAATCAAGGACCGCCATATCCTCAGCTGACATCTCTGATGAAGTACAGCTCGGGGTCCCTGGAGAGGCTTTCAACTTCAGCCAGTGCCAGAACAAGGTGGCTGTTGCGGAGGGTGCCGGTTCCGCTGGTAATGTTTCGGCTGTGGAGCAATTCATCCGTGAGCATGTGAAGGCATAGGTGGTTGTTATTATCGTTCTCAGGGGCTGCAAATGTTTCAGTTGATGAGGCAAGACGTGCATTGCGTCAATGTGGTTACCCTTCATGCATATACCTCTGTTCGGGTCCTCTGACGTTGCTTTGCTTAGAGGCGCAGTCATATTCCGCACTGCTTCAGCTGACCCTTGTTATAGTTTATAGATTACATGTTGCATTGTTGACGACTGGCAGTCATCGGGTATGAATGAATAGATCATGTAAAAAAATGTCTCTGGCCATGGTTGTTTTGCTCCATATATGTTGTATATTTCCCTGATTCTCACGACGTCTCGGTTGTAAACTCTTTCCGTTATAGTTGCAACAAGCAAAAGTGGATGCAACTCCACGGTGGAGCATATGGGTGTTGTCTTTGCACCTGATGTTGCCTAGTCTTGCATTCAACTGCTTGTTCAATTAAAGAATTTAGTTTCGCTTGCACCCGGTTCTTCTTCAATTAATTAAAAACCTTGATGGCAGCACGCATGCAGTCAAGTGCTCGTCACGGCGCCATGCTCATGCATCTTTCTTGGGAAAAAAATATATTTACTGTAGAATTGGAGATGAAGCTAAACATCGGAGCATTTTGTGGTTACTAACGTCCTGTTCACGTGTCTACCCTTGGCCTTCTAGAGATTGCTGTTATCCGCTGTGGCTACTTTATTTTGTGTCAAACGTAAGCATTAGCATATGAGTATCCTAAATCTCCACCTAATCTTTTTTTTAGCAAGATTGGAAAAAAAACACCTCTCCAACAACTCCTTATCCGTCCTCCCAATCTTATAGCACTTTGGAAAAAACTCTCCCAACCCGCGTAAAGTTACGCGCCGTGGTCATCGCGCGTATCCTCCCCTCCCGTGGTGTCGCGATTTTTTTGCCGCAGTTCGTCTTCTTTGAGCCATCGCACGACGGCTCATGCCGCCCGGCGCCGCCGGGATTGCCATGGATCGCTCGCGAGATGATCTCCGACGCCACCCGCCGGGATTGCTGTCGCTCGCGGTTCCGTGCTCGCTCGCGGTGCCAGGACTGGCGTCGGTCGCGATGAACTCCGACCGATAGTTCCTCCCATGTATATGTGTATTGAAGTAATGCTCTTGGCCGGCTGCTCTACTGCTTGTATGGTAATGTTTGCTGGCGCAAGGTGAAGCTGCTACTGGCGATTTTTTTTAATTTTAACCTTTTTTCGAAACTAATTTTAAATCTAACACTGTCGGAATGCCTGTGCCGCGCCATGCATGGCGGCGTGGCAGAGGCCTGACGTGGCGGCGACCATCACCGCTGACCGCTAACGTGGCAAGGCTCTGCCGCGCCACCGATCTTGGCGCGGCAGTGCCGCGCCCTGATCCGTGGCGCCGCAGAGCCGGGTATAACCACCGCCGTGGTCTCTTGCCCGAGCAGTCGCCGTTCCGCGAGAAACGCAGCAAGGCAGCCTTGCCGCCGCGCCCGCCTTCGCCCGCGCCTTCCCGCCGCCGAGGACGCCGTCCGCCGCGGCTGCGTCCGCCCACGCCAGCAAGCCAGCCGCGTTCAGCCAGCCCGTAAGCCAACCGTGCCAGCCAGGCAGCCAGGCCGCCGGCCGCCCGGTGCAGCCACCGCGCCCGCACGCAGGCGCGCCTCCCTCTCCGGCCAGAACCTCCGGTCATGCAGGGCGGCTGCCCGCCTAGGCCTGCGCCCGCGCCTCCCGACCCGGTCTTGCGCGCTGCAGCGAGGTACTCCACTAATATAGTTAGCACAGTTAATAAAGTTAGTAAAATTATCAAAGCATAGTTAGTATAGTTAGTTAGTTTAGTTAGTATACGTAATATAATAAGTTAGTATAGGTAGTAAAGTAAGGTAGTTTAGTTAGTACAATTATTGACTCTAGTTGTACATTGGATTTAGTCTAATAAGTTGTTGTAGTTAGCCTTGTATAGATATTAATATTTGATTAGTTAGTATACTTATAGTTAGAAAATGTAATAATGTTAGTATGGACATTACGTACGATGATTTCGACGACTTGACGAAGTTTCTTGAAATGCTTTTGCAGATGGATTGTTGTGTTAGAGTTTTGTACGGAGGAAGTGTTAGGAGAGAAGATGGTATGTTTGAGGATATGGAAGAAGAATTAGAATGATTTGATGAACCTCCTAGCTTCAACGACCTTTGTGTCCGTTTGAATACAAAGTTTGGAGGTGATTTCACACTGAAGGGGAGGTTTGATACTAGGAAGACTAAGGCACACTATGCCCTCATGCCCTTGCGCGACCCTGCTCACTGGTCCCGCTACACTAGGGTTCTCCAAGGTTCCAATGTGCCCATGGCTGAGGTGGTGGTGGAGAATGGGTACAGGATACAGGGTGTTTAGGACGGCCCGTCCATTGATGGTTTTGGAGACAATGAACAAGAATTAGGGGTCGAAGGGGAAGAAACTCAGGATAACATGGATTTGGACGGTCAGTTGACGCAGGAGCAGTTTCATTCAACTGCATTAGGCTGTATAAGCAATGACTTCGATGTGAATGAGTTCGAACGGGAAGAGGAGCAGGAGGAGGAGGACAGGATCGGTGATGTAGTTAGCAGTGATTCAGATGATTCTAATGATGACCAAGGAGGTACAGATGCTATGGCAACACCGACTGATGCCATGCCAGTACCGGTTCGTACTATGCCATTACCAGTACCAACTGAGGTTTTGCATGGTGTCCATGTTCAGGGTAGACTAGTCATAGATTTGGCTGCAGATGATAACCCCTATGATTCATGGGCCAAAATTAGCGAAGCGCAGCAGTATGTTCCACCACCTTACACAGCGACTGAGCTTGAGCAACTAAGGTCCAAGAACATACCTTTCAGGGGCGTTTCGAACTATAGGGATGTCAGCATGACGGATATGGCAGTTTGTAATACCGGTCTCTAGCTGTGTAGGAATTCATTGTATAACCATGAAAAAGAACCCCTTAGGAAGGGGATGATATTCAACACAATGTCAGAGATAAAACTCTTCCTTCAGGACTATGCTATGTACCACCATAGACCGTACACCGTCACTCATTCAGACCAGGAGTTGAGGTACCACTTGATATGCAAAAACGGTTGTCTGTGGAGGTTAAATGCACGAAGGAGACAGAGTGATGGTAAGTGGAGGATAACTAAAGTTGTTGAACCCCACACTTGCCTAGACAATAAGGGGAAGAAAAATCATCAGCAGCTCACTGCACGTTACCTTGCCCGTCGTATATTGGGGCTCGTTGATGACAATAACGACATCTCGGTGTCTTCTTTACAACAGTCCATATATGGATTCGTTAGGTACGATGTGTCGTATGGAAAGGCTTGGCGTGCTAAGTAAATCGCTCTCGCGATTCGATGGGGTACTTGGGAGGAAGCATACAACAGGGTGCCCCGCATCTTATGTGCAATGCATTATTACAACCCTGGCTTGAAATGGTTTGTGGACACCGGAGAGGTGTTTTTAGGGACCCATTGAGACATGTCCTCTATCGTGTGTTTTGGTTGTTCGCGCAAACAGAACATGCATTCCAGTTTTGTCGGCTAGTTGTACTTGTTGATGGCACTTTCCTGAAAGAAAAGTATAGGGGCACCTTGATGATGGTTGCTGCTGTTGATCCTGAGGACCAGATAGTACCCGTGGCTTTTGCTTTGATAGAGGGAGAGAACAATGAATCGTGGTCATGGTTCATGCGGCTTCTACGTGTGCAAGTGCTTGGCCCAACTCGCACTATATGTTTGATCTCCGACCGTCACGCAGGGCTTCTTAATGCTGCAGCTGAGCATATAGATATGTTCCCGCCTCTAGTACATAGATGGTGCATGAGACACTTTGTCGCTAATTTCTGGCGACGTCAGCGGAAGCAGGAGGCATGTGACAAGGTAAAGGCTCTATGTTGTGTACGTACAGAGCACGAGTTCAAGGAGACAAAGAGAGAACTAGACAAGATGGTAAATGCAGTGGGAAAGGCCTAGTTAGAGGCGCAGATGGAACAGAAGGCTCAGTGGGCGTTAGCATATGACGAGGGAGGTTTCAGGTATGGCATCATGACTACTAACTCCTCGGAGTCGTTCAACCGTGTATTCAGCGGAGTTCGATCGTTGCCTGTGTCTGGAATTGTTGAGTTCTCCTTTCATAAGTGCAGCAGATATTTTGTGAAGAGGTGGAAACTTGCACAGAGGAATATAGCTGAGTAGGGGCGTTTTAGAAAGGCCAGAGCTGAACATTTGAAGGAGGCCGAGGAATTGGCTAAGTAGCACACCGCCGAGCCGTTTGGACCCCGCCGCCATATCTTTAGTGTACGGGGCAAGGGTGGCATAAGCTTGGGCGGCGAACGTTATGGTGGACGAAACTACCGAGTTGATCTTGAAAACGTAGAGTGCAGTTGCAACATCCCTCAGATCATGCATGCCCCTTGCTCTCATATGATCACGGCCTGCAGGGTTCGTGGGTACAACTATGAGGATCTACCCATATATGTCACCTTTGTATCTCCATTTGAACACCTTTAGTATTTGGAAGATGAGCTTCGAGCCATACCTAGACCCAACACAGTGGCCACCTTATAATGGTTATGACTACGTGCCGCATCCGGATCTAATGAAGGTAGGGAAGAGTAGAAGGAAGAAGCGACTGAAGGGGGACATGGACGCTATGAGAGGGTACGACGAAGACATGTACGGCGGGGGAGACTTCAACAAGACCCATGGCAGGAATCTTTGCTCCATTTGCAAACAATGTGGCCACAAGGCTAGTCGGCATAGAAGACAACATGTGATTTTATATTGTGTTTGTATTGCATAACAAGTAGTTCAAATTTTGCTATGGTACATAATGTTAATCTGAAAATATTAATTTGAATACTCTAACCCTTTGTTTATCATTTTGTAACAGGATGACCCCTCCCACGCCGCACCAGCTGTACCCCTTCTTGATGTGGAGTACGACGACTCTCTTCTTCTACCGGACGACGAGGTTTTCAAGAGGCGTTCAAGGG